TTCAGAGTCACGGATTGGGGTGTTCACAGAAGCAGAGTTAGTAACAGAATCAAACATAGAACCGCAGGACACAAAATGCTCATTAAAGCAATTTAGCATAGTAGCCCTGTCCGATATAGAGCCAGATGCTGTGGTAAGGCACGGAGGTAGCTCATTACGGATCTCACCGGTGGATATCGATTTTATGGCTTTCAAAAAATGTTTAGGATTATTTAGGTTTTCTGTGGTAACTGACAAATAGTACTTTGACTTAGCACTTTTGACATTTGAAGTGAAGCTATTCCTTAGCTGCCTAAAACGCAGCCATTCTTCCTCTGAGCCTGATTGCCTAGCCTTTGCCCAGGCCTTGTTTCTCTCATGAAGGAGACTGGACAGTTCAGCAGAAAACTAAGGATTGTCTCGTCCCTTCACTCTAAATGTGCATGTCTATCAATGATCTCCATAAAACCAAGATAAAAATAAGACCATGTGGTTTCTACATCAGCACACAGATCGATTTCCCCCCAATCAAAATCAAACAGATCATGCACAAAACCCTGCTCCACAAAATGTTTTATGTCTCTCTTCATGATAATACAAGGTTTAACCTTTTGAACCTTAGTGTCCCTAATTGTGGCTACAACACAGTGATCGCTCAGATCATTTGCAAATACTCCCATAGCTGAGTATTTATAGGGAACATTAGTTAAAATGAGATCAATTAGGGAGGATTTATTAGGGGACTTAATGTTAGGGCGAGTAGGACTCTCAACAATCTGAGTAACATTCAAAGAGATACAAAGGTTTTTTAAATCCTCTGACACTGCAGTTAACCAGTTCCAGTTAAAATCTCCAAGTAGCACTATTTCCTTGTAGTCTAGTTGCGATAAAAGATTTGCTAGCGAAGACAAGGAGTCCTTGCCAGCTGAGGGGGGTCTGTAACAGCCCACCACCATGACCTGTTGCCCCTTTGCCACTTCTATATTTAAGGCTAAAAATTTGAATTGCTTACTGATAGATTTGGAAACTATCAACTACCTTGATTAAGGTAATTACATTAAAATCATTTATATTAGTTTTCAATGCCTGAAAAACTGGTCCGATACGACTCATTAAATTGCAATATGTGTGTGTGTCTCAAATTCTGTGAGATGTATGCCATTGATGATCTGCATTGTAAGTGCATTGGCATTTAGGAAAAGCATTCAATGTTCTTAATAAGTGGCTATTTGTACATTTTTGGATTAAATGTTTTGTCCTTTGATTGAATTGAAAACAAAAACATAAAGTAGTCAATACAACAAATAAAAGGAAATGATACAGTAGTTGAATAAGCACAAGGTCAAGACTGATGTGAAAAATAAATTACATTTTGTACTGACATTTATTAGATTAACACAAACTGTATACAGATCTCGAAATCCATTGGTAATATTTACCAATATTTATTTCATTCTTACATTTCTTCTCATACCCTGGATAACAACTTAATCACTTTTGCTATTTTTCACACTTTAATGAAAGTGCTGTACAAAGCATCTTCATGAAAAATAAGTTTAGCAATTTAATGAACTACATATTAAATATAAAGAATATTACTGCCACTCAAAATATATGCATTACATCCATAGTCTGAATGTTGCTATGAAGGAGCTTATTTCTTTTTAATTCAAAGAGGTCATTCTAACACACCATTCTGAAGCAAAACATGAATTTATATGACATCATATACTTTATATATTTAAACATAAATAAAGTGCTTGATTTGGATATTACCATGTTGTCAGTTTGATTAGGTAAAAGCACTTTTTTACTCTTCTAGTATTTAATCTGACCGTGACCATAACCTTTGTTATTCTTGCTTACAAACATAAATAACAATAATAGTAAATAGCTCAATTAGTTGTCAGGACTGAATATTGAATATAAAACTTACATTCAGCAGTTTGCATATATAAGTCAAACATTTTAATTTGAATATATTTTAGCTCAGGGATACAATTTTGGGCCTGAAACATTTCATGGAATTTCTTCAATATTGCTTCCTGTGCAAAATGTATGTCTTTCATATAATAGTCCAACTGTGGCTGTGTATTAAAATGTCAGTGTATACGTCCTGAAGAATCGCATCATCGCAGCATTTTAGACCTTTAAATGTGTTGCGTAATGCCAAAGATGAGTTGCAAACATTTGAACCTATATTTGAACATAGAAAAATATTGCTCCCACATTTGAAACAAATGGAAAACAAGATTTCCTAAAATTGTGCAATTGTAACTTATTTCAGTAAAGTATGCATAAATACCCAAAAAGTGTCTTCAGTATTGCTTTGTGTTCAGAAAGTATATCTTTCATACTGTATCATTGTCATTGTATATTGAAAAGTCAAAAAATAAAAACATTGAAGCACCTGCCCTAACAAACACGTATCAATAATAGACGAGAAGACCGTTAAATGTGTTGTGTAATCTCAAAGATGAGTTGCAAAACAATCAAAGGATAACGAGAATATTTAAAGTTGGAAATGAAAATAACATCCTGTCTTTTTGTAGTCCTACAAACAGTTTATTTCAGTCGTCCTCCCCTCCTCCCTGCCTCCCTGTTTCTCTCCCTCATTCCCTCTCTTAGCCATGTCCTCCGATGGCTTTTGGCCTACTTTCGACTGCAGAGCTCCAGTTTGTGTGAGCCAAATCTCAGCATGGATTTACAGCCCGAGCGAGCGAGAGATGAAGGGAAGAGGGAGTGATAGACAGCGAATGAGTGCAAAAAGAATCATGTCGAATGGGATGGATTCAGCTTTGTGCTGCCGCTGTACGCCGCCATGCCCTTACATCTCTATTCCAACAATCATTGTCTACATTTTTCACACATTTCATCTTGAGGACATCTTTTCGTATCAGAATCAGATGTTGTAATGATCCTAATTGTCACATAATCATTACAAATACATTGGATGAGAGGCTGTCGGTATTTGATCAATCTTCTTTGTAAAAACCTTGGAAATTAAGACATCTTCAAATTCTGTGATTGCAACTAATATCGGTAAAATATGCATTGATATATCATGTTGTTTTCTTAGGCTGTAAATAACCATTGTGCTGATTATTTACTGCAGTGATCAATGGCAACCACACACTGAGTCAGCTCACGAGATAAGAGGAAGTCATGTTGAGGTGAGAGGGTTTGAAAATCTAAATGTCAGCTTAAAAAAAAAAAAGAGTTCAAGTCATAACATAATAACTGCACTGATTTCTGTAGTAATAATGGGAATCATTTCCCCTGTTTGTAACTGAGAATGTCATTTAAATGACATATAAACATGATGACATATAATGAATATATTAATAAACCATTGATATACTTACCTGTTAATTATGAGCATTAACAAAAGTTATTTGTGATGTAAATTGAATCTGGAGCTCCATGTTATCATTTTACCAAAATGTTATTTTTGGTTAATAAATGGGCAAAACACAGCACTTAAAAGGCATCAGTATCTGTTACTTGTAAAATAAAGACATTCATTTAGAAAATAAAAATAAATCCCCGAAACACACATTTGTTATTTGCAGTTTAAAATGTAGGTTTTTACATGTCTGGCATCTAAATTGCACAGTGATAATAATCAAATAAGGTTTAAGAAAAACGTCAACCATTTAAGAATTTGTATGTGACTAAAATTTCAAAATAACCTTGTTACCACAAATAAACAAATAACATTTTATTTTATTTTCCTTTTACAAAAAAAACATGAATATCTTAAATCTATCCGTTGCTTACCAAGGACTTCAACATACATAACTAATTTGCCTGAATCCAATAAGACTTTTACACACAAATACCTCTGAGATTTACTTGGGAAGAGTATGGGAAGAGTATTGCATACAATTCCCATCTAAACAATGGGGTCCATTTATATGTAGTTTTCTTCCCCATCATCTACTGCACATCTATTTAGCCAAATATATATTAGTATTTTTTTTGAAGAAAAGCTTTGTAGTAATATAAAAATTAAACATAAAATAGATCAATGTTTTGCAATAAAGTTTTTCTTTCTTTAATAATGATTTTACATAATATGTGTAAAAATCTGAATAAAACTAACAGCTTTCAAATTAGCTCGAATTGCCTTTAACACAAAACAACTCCATTGTGCTCGGAGGAAAATCTAATGTTGCAGTTTCTAACCGTACTTTCGTGTCAGCCCTGCAGTACAATGTGCCGGTTCCAATTGTTCACACCAATGAAAAACCAAAATCTGGCTATAACAAATCCAGGCAATAAACGTTTTGGGTGTTGAAAGTTATTCCTGGAAATGTGGTGAATCACTGAGGTATAGCAGCAGGCTTAAGGACACCAACAAAGTTGAACAACTGGAATGAAAGCCATCGGTTAATAGTCTGCAGGATCTTCAAACATGTGAGGGTCATAGTTTCTTCTATCTCTTAGCATGATGAGGGTCTTACTTTAAGTGATAACATGTAACTCAGACAACTCTAATGAATATATTAGTGTGATATTTAACAAAAACATAATGTAGCATGTTATAGGCTAGAAGGTTAAAAAGAAGCTACCTACTGTGTATGCTAATATGTTAGCATGAGGCAGTGTCTCTGAGTATAGTGGACAATATAATGTTGGCTTGTAATACACTATCAACATATTGTGTCAAGTGAGGCCTACTTTCTCTTGTATGCTATGTGCTTAAAAGTTAGCATGGAGCTAATTTTCAATTAGCATAGAGGAGGCTAAAGTGCTACTATCTACATCATTTAGTACAGAGTATGCTTAAGTGTCAGCACATTCACCAAAGTCCTAAAGTATTAGCATGGGGCATACTATCATTACCTTATGCTGAGGAGCTAGCATGGAGTCAGCTATTTGGGTACACAGCATTAATTCATTAGCATAAACCTTGAAATTAATTAGCATAGTGAATGGATGGCAAGTCCTAATATACTAACATGCTAGGAATGATAACATTTTAGAATGGTGCATTTCTAGGAAAAATACAAAAGGAGGATATTTTTACTAAATGTTTTATTAGCATACAATATACAGTATTTTGTAATACAAGACGTTGTACAACTTAGTATCGCAGTATGCATGTGTATGGGCAGTTGAAGATTGCTTCCGTCAGGTTTTCATGTAGCAACATGTCCTGACCTCGTGTCAAAGGCTGTAAGAGAAAGAAAGACAAAACTGTTTAGTAGCTGTTTCAGAAAGTGCAGCAAATACAGCATGTACAGAACATTAGCAAGCCACTTCAGTGGTACTATTGATTTTTGCATTTACTATCTGGTTGAGGAAATGAGTAAACACATGAAAAGCGATTAAATATAATGGTGGGTTTTGTTGACATTTATGAATATCTGCATACTTCAAATAAAACCAATAATAGTATTACATGTTAAATATTTACTGTAGGTATAATTACTTTGACAGACATTAATATAATGTACTACTGTGGTATTGTAACACATTTACTGTACACAAATGCATGCGCCACATTTCAGTGCTCATGGAGTAATTACTGAAAGCATACTGACTGCTTGTCAACTATTTTTTGGTCCATTAACTGTCTGATGTCTTTAGGGTCAGGATCTTGCAATATGTCTTGGCAGCTCTGCGGGGGGGAAAAAGGGAAAGAATCATGCCAAAGAATCGTCTTGTTGAAGGTCTTAAGTAATAAAAAGATATCCAAAGACAAAATATGAAACATGTCAGATGACAAGTCTGTTCAGAAGAGTCTGACAACTCATTGAGAGCTTCTAATAATAAGCATGACAGTTGAAAATCATGTGAAATTACATTTATTTAGACACAACTGTAAGACGTCTCTATTTCAATAGCTGACTTCTGAAGAGAACACTGCTCTCACATAATACAACTATTTATTGAAAGGGAAAACATTGGCTTATCATTGTAATGTTGCTTTACATTATCATATTCAGTCATGATTCTCATAAAGCATGCAACTGCCGATACGGAATATAAATAATGTAGAATAAAAACCTTAACTACTCCAAGTCCTGTACAGTCATTTTCTAAATCACACAAAGTGCACTACATGATCTTTAGACGATAAATGTATAACATATCAATTAATTTCCAATTCTTCATTAAATAGTGGGGGTTGCAATCCCCATCAGCTCCGGTCATGATCTCTGTCTACACACTGGAAATGTATTTGTTTTATATATTTGTGATGTGCATTAATACCTTAATTTCTTGATAAGTAATCATGTATAGAAACCATAAATGTGAAAAGTAATTTATTAAATAGATGCTCTTAAGTTTTACATCAAAATAAAATATGCATGGATATGTTAATTACACTGATGCAGAAAACATATACAATTTAGCATTTATAATCTGAACAAGGCATCATGGTCAACAAGATGACAATACACAATAAATAACTGGACTTGACAGGTTACATGTAAAGAATGATTGGAAGCTGAAACACAGTATCAAATGATAACAAATTGCTTAAAGAAATGACAAGACAAAGTACTTAAAATCAACACAAAAATTGCACATTTGTTGAAAGTAAAGTGTTTCTCAGATTGCAATATGTACGTATGCAGTATGGTATTCAAAAGTGCATGCAACAAGTATCACTTGTCTTTTGCTGCTTGTGGTCCTTTCAATATCTGAAGCTTAAAGTTAAATACTACTGCTATTATGTTGCATTTGTTCTATCAACTAAATATTATCAAATTTTAAGCTAACATTTTTTTGTTAGCGATTAACCAAGGCTGTTGAAGCGGAAAATTATCCAGAATGTTAACCGCAGCCAGCATGCCTAAGCTTCTCCTTCAAACATCCCAAAAAAGCATTTACAGCTTTGATTTGGCTTGGCAAGAAAGTGTTAAATGTTGATTCATCTGGGGATTTCCAGCATGACTTTAAATCCAACATGACCTGGAGCAGGACAACACACTGACGGGGAGTCGGCTAAACCTCAGCCTGCAGACATTACCACCTTGGTTTCTATTAGGTAGAGACAAAGGGAACGTGTGTGTGTGTGTGTGTGAATGCTGACACATCGTTGGTGACATCAGATTCTCTCAGATTAATAATGTTGATGTATAATCCGTTTAATCTGCTGGTGTGATGTGGCTGTGCGCACAATCCCAAATCTCCTTTAAACTGGCCTTAGTCTAAGCCATGAAGGACACACACACATACACACACACACACACACACACACACACACACACACACACACACACACACACACACACACACACACACACACACACACACACACACACACACACACACACACACACACACACACACACACACACACACACACACACACACACACACACACCACACACACCACACACACACCCACACACCACACACACACAACACACACCACACACACACACAGACACAGACAAACCATGTTTAAAACAACCCAGATTGCGGGAAGTGTTGGCAGCTAAAACACATAGGGAAGAAAAACAAGAAAAACAATGAAAGCACTGGATCGGCACCAAATCCTGAGTCTTGTTAGTTTGCTAAGCTACAGTACTGAGAAGTGCCACAGCAATTTCCGCTTTGTGGCACTAAATACGCCCTGAGGTGTACTGATGTCTTCCCGGTGCCATAGGTAATGGGCATTAAGCAGCACTTGAGGGCACACGTGGAGCTGGGACGCCATCTTGTTTCACCAACAGAGAAGAGTGGTAGAACCCCTCTGCAGTGGGAAGAACTACCACACACACACACACACACACACACACACACACACACACACACACACACACACACACACACACACACACACACACACCACACACACACACACACACCACACACACACACACACACACACACACACACACACACACACACACACACACACACACACACACACACACACACACACACACACACACACACACACACACACACACAAACACACACACACACACACACAGAATTTACAGACACAATACTGTGGGAAGCACACACCCAAACACACACATGCTGACCAGCTCTGATTAGTGATGAGTGCGCTACGTCCGCCTGCAGCTGAGCCGAGGCGCTGTGTTGAAGGGAGTGGCAGAAAAAAACTGCAGAATGGGGACTGTAAAGTGAGAGAAACCTCCCCTGCTTTCACAAAGAGGCGCTGGGTTTATCGCCAACCGTCTGTCTCCTCGTTCTATGCTTTTCCTCAGCGTGGCAATTAATCTCTCCGATCAATAATTTAACCTTTATTTGTCCAAAAGGGCCGATTGCTAGAACATTTTCCTGAGGCGCTTTGGGCGTAACCCTGCAGCAACCCATCAAACATACCCTCCACATACAATTGAATGCACTAAACTGCCTTGTCTGCTGCATTTTAAAAAGTCCACCTTAACCAAATTCCACCTTAAAAGGGGCTTTAATCAATCACGTTAACGTTGACTTACAACATTCTCTGCCACATTCCTTTTTTACATCCATAGTTTACTTCATCTGCACTACTTGCACATTGGTCTTGAAAGATAAACTTGCAATATTAAAATTGTACTCTGTTCCTTCTTGCACTATTTTATTGTTATTCAAATTTGTTTTATGGTTTTAGGCCTTACTCATATTATGTTGCATTGTTGGAGGAGCCTGGGACTTAAGATTTTCATTGCGATACACTGTAGCAATTGTGAATATGACAATAAAGCCTTTGAATCTTCAATCAACTGCTGCCTGCTAGCCATTGGAATGAATTATTACCAGAATAGCTGATGTCTTAAAATGTTGCTATAAGACAATTGTGGGATACTAAACTGAAATCTAGACTTGTCGATCTCTTGGACTTTTTGGTGCAGTATCTTAGTCAGGTGTCATTGATGGTTTTACTGACACACCTGAAGGTGCTGGGTAAAAGGTTCCCCAAGAGTGGCATCTCAATCCAATAATAAGATTAACATTTTAATGAATTCTGTCTTAAATGTTAGATGAGATCAGATTTCAGCACACAGGTATTCCAGATGCAAACAGCATTATCTCTATCATGTGTTGACAATACTGATTAGCCCATATCCTTTTATGTAAGAAAAATAATCAAACATTGGGGCGATGAAACCGCTGTCGATCCATCCTCCACGTTTGCCTCGGCCATGGGGACAGAGTGTACAGACAGTCTGTGGTGCAGCCGAACAATGGAGAGCAAGCCTGCAGCCCCTTTCCAGTTAGGCTAGACACTAACTCGCTCCAGGTTAGTGCTTGCTCACCGAACTGAACAAATACAAATGGAGAAATGGTGCAAGAAGAAGGAAACAGGGCTGACAGAGATGTTACATAAGAGAGAAGCTAAACAAGAGGATTAGTAGGGACGAGGGGGTTCAAGTTAAAATCCACATTAGTTCATTTGCAATAGGACAGAAGCATTTCCGGAAATATACATGGTTGAAAAACTGAGACATTATGAACCCTTATTTTGAAGGACATTAGCATATCTTATCCAACTGTTGGTAGTGGAAAAAAGGGGACTTTAGGGGAAATATACTTTTCAAGGCCAGGAATAAAAGCTAAACTGTGATGTCAAAATGATCAAATAAATGAAGCCTCATTGTCACACATGTTGCACACAAGGGAAGAAATGCAATCTTTGAATTCAAGCATCTAACTTAACATAATGTAACAACAACAAACAAATAGATTTTTCATCAATGAAGTACCTTGCTGCAGACATCAGCAAAGCACCCAGCACAATTTCCACTTCCTAAAATGTGGATCTTCAAGTTCATGGAGTTCAGCACCCATTGTAATGAAGGGAATCATCCATGAAGATGAGCTATCATCAATATGCACGCTACTCCCCATTAAAAACACATATTAGCAACGTTGTGATGGGGCCGAGTCACATATCGACGAATCATGCTGTCAAGTAACAACTGTTAAAAACTAAATATGCTGCAAATTGATCTCTGTGAGAGTAATCGCCCCTGAGAGCAAGCTGCAAGGAGGACGACATGGTTACCCTTTCAACAAGCAGTTAGAGGAGAAAAGAAACTCATTGCTGAAAAGAAAATGGACACGTGCAGCGGAGAGCCGCCATGTGCTACGTGGCTACTATGAGCAACTGAATTGTTGTGGGATTCTTGTTACTATCGTCTACAAACGAGTTACCACTCTGAAACCAATCTGGTACAACAGTCATTGTTGAGAAGCAATTAACATATGAATCATGCCACATATTATTCCCAGTGGACATAACTAGCTGCCCTGTGAGTGTGTTGTTACTGACACCTTTACATTTGTATTAGCATAAGTGAGTGAGCTTCGAAATCGCTGAGGGTTCGCTGAGGTCAGGCACATAATGTACAGAGCTTTCATGGTTACGCTCTCAACATTACTCTGTGCTGCTCTCATGTCAGTACGGTACACACACACACACACACAGGCAGCCAGGCCCGCTGGAGAAACAAAGAGCTATCACACCGACAGATGCTTCCTTACCTAATTGTAGTTAATGAAGAGGTTAATGCTATCACAGCAGCATCACCATTATCTCTCATAAGTTGGCAATGCTAACCAGCTGTTAAGCTATTACTTTACCAGGAACAGCTTTTCTTGTTGTTTTAAGTGGCTAAGGATGCTAACAAGCATTAGCATGGTATTCAGTTAGCATTCTACCTGAAGCTAACTTTGCTGATTGTTATGCTAAAAGTGCAGTGATCTAAAACATAATTGTGGTCATGTAACATCAACGCCTTTCATTCAAAAGAAGAACAAATGTAATTTATGTGTCTTACTTTTGTGAAATCTAATGAAAATGCTACATTAGGGAAAACAACACAATTGCTATATGTGAGAAAACAAGTATCATCATGTTAAAGGTTGGTATTACTGACTTACTGCTATTTAATGGTTTTACTTAGGCAGAGGCAAATAATGAGTGTAGCCCCCACTTCAATGGGCAGTACTGATACAATGAGGCCTCTGTTGCTAAAACATGATCGCTTCCTGTCATCCATCTAAATGCCTAAGCTCAGCCTGCCTTAACTTTGTCACATGAATCTTAAAACAGCAGAGATTTCACCAGCACACCAGTTCGTCTGTAGTATCCACTCCATCTATACTTCCTGATGTTTGATGGTGCAGCAGACAGAACAGGTGACATGCAACATAGAGCAGGGTGTTAGCCGAACTGAGAACTGTGCCATGGTGAGCATGCAGTGCTCACGCCTAAGCGCCATCACTGCGCCATGGCCTTTCCCCCTTCTGAATGCCATTGTTCGAGGCAGGAACGTGGGGGAGATAGTGCTGCCTGTGCATCCCCCTCAGCTCCCGAGAGCCTAACCCGTGGACATGAAAACACAACGTCACAAGTTAGGGTCTCAGGGACGGAGAGAGATACATCTTCACACGGGCTCCTCCACCTGCCCACATGGCAGGTCCCTCTGGATTTTGTCTTCTACCAAAATGGTTCTTCAAAAATGATGATCCTGTTCTTGAACAGGAGAGGTTCAATGTCCTGCCCTCTTCTCTGAGTCAACTCAGGACTCGGAGCGTCTGAGCATCTCTGCCTGCAGCTTTGGATCCAACACACACTCGCAAGGTCTATGCATGAATTGAGCATGCTCATTGCTATCTACCATTGTCCCCATGTGTATTTGTGAACATACAACTAGTGCAAGCCTCAGCCAGACACAACATTGGCCAGCCTCCCCCCCCAACTCTTTCTCACCCTCTCTGTTTCTCTCCTGCCCCCTCCCCCATCTCAGCTGAACAATACAGCACTTTGAAAAAAGCTTCCTGCCATCAGGTAGAGAGCCTGCTGCTGTAGATTGCGTCTAAAGATTTTCCGCCGTTGTAGGAAAAATCCAATGCGCTATGATTGCTAATCATTGCTATGAGACAAAAACCCTGCAAGATGCATTGATTAAAGCATCGAAAGCTGAAGCGGGGACCGCACAGCGCCAAGTAAACCCCCGGACATGATGACTTGCATCAGACTGTCACATTTTGTAACCATTAATACAATTATTCAATGCATGCTTTTCATCAATAGCGCAAATCCCCCTTCAAGCGCGGCTTTCTAAATCTTCCGGAGAGGCTGTACGGAGAAAAGACGAGCCCAGTAACAAAGCTCCACGCTCCTTCATGCCACCATGGTGGTCTAAAGCTTAGGAAACAGATGGGGAGCTGAGAGGGAAGTGGGGAGGAAGAGAATTTGTTGGTATCGACTCACCCTCCCCTTCGGATCCAGGATGCCCCCTTTGCCCGTTGTTCTCCTCTCACGCTTCCTGCTCGGGAAAGGAGGGAAAAGAGACAGAGAGAGAAAGAGAAAGCTCAGATGTTTTACTTACAGCACGCCTCCAGATGTGCAGAGGAAGAATTTTGTGTTTTTAACAAAAAAAGAAACACAAGCAAGACATCCCGAGAACCGCTCAAAGTCAGGTGACAAAAACAACTGCAAGAGAGAGACTGACGGAGACGAGGAGAAGAGGCATGAGGATGGGTGGTAGGACCGAGCCGGAATGAACCATGTGCAAGCTCTCTTTCCCTCTATCTCTTTGCTCTCCTTTACACACACACACACACACACACACACACACACACACACACACACACACACACACACACACACACACACACACACACACACACACACACACACACACACACACACACACACACACCACACACACACACACACACACACACACACACACACACACACACACACACACACACACACACACACACACACACACAAAAGAGCGAGAGTGAGCAGTCTGGGGAGGCAAGTCGCGAGAGAGTCGGTGACATGATTCCTCTTCCCAGAAAATGAAATGCTGAAAGGAATTGATAGTTAAAGGTTGGATAATACAGGTAGACCACAAGAAGAGGGGTGGGGGGGTGAGAGAGTGAGACCGAGTGAACGGGTGAGTGATAGAGAAATGGAGGAAGAGATCAAATAAAAGAGCGAGCATCGAGCTATGGAATCAGTGCTTGCAGCCGGAGCCACAGTGCCAGTCAAGCATACATACCAGTATGCTGCCTCACCGAAGAGGGGTGGGGGGGGGGGTGGCTCTCACACACTTGCAAGTATTGCATGGATTGCAAAAATGTGTCACACTCTTTTCCTTTCGCCCGAGTCTACTTACTTTTTTTTTACCCAGACCTGCAGGTCCAAGACAGGTTAACGAGGAAAAGAAAGTGGTCACACACACACTTTCATGCACACACACTCTTTCTCTCCCTCTCACAAGTTAAAGGACAAAACAAATGTGCCCGCTGATCTCTTGTCTCGCTCCGCTTTCTCCCTTCCTCGCCCCTTTCTCCCTCGCATTGTATTCTCTCTCTTTCAATCTGGAAAAGGAGGGAAGACAGGAAAAAACCATAAGGCTCCCCCCCTCCTCCCTCCTCCTCTTCTTCTTCTCCCCAATATTAGCACTCCACCTCTTTCTCTCAATCTTTCTCTTTTCCCCCTTCAGGCTCTTTTTTCTTTTGGCCTTCCCGTGTTGACGGCGTGGAGGAAAAGAAGCAGTTTTCTTTTTCCAATTAAAAAATCATCCATTAATTTGCGTCTGGCTGTAATTGTTTACAGCCAGAGGCCCACTTTCAGAGAGAGGGGAGAGAAAGAGGGAGGGAGGATTGACAGAAAGTAGTCCTCCTTTCCGTGTTTTTCCACCTATCCGTTGTCCGTTTTCCACCCATAAAACAAATCCTCTGTTCTCTTCTGCATGCAAGCGAAAAACCAAAAAGAATCCACTTTTCCATTCCCTTCTCTCTCTTTTCTTTCTTTTTTCTCTTACACTCTGCCGACATCATTAACACTATCCCTTCAGGAGAGGAACGAGAGACAGAGACAGAGGGAGACAGAGAGAGTCTGAGTGAGGAAGAGGCCATAGAAACATTGCTACATGATGTGCTTTGGCTAATAGAGGCTACATTTAATCTCCTAGAGAGAGAGAAGGAGAGAGAAGGAGAGAAAGAGGAGAGATGATGGGGGGAGGGAGGGACAGATGGGACCAGAGAAGGAGAGCAACGACACACAACCGGTTCTGGGCTCAAATCAGCGACGGGGCTCCAGAGAGGCGAGGAGAGGGGAGAGAAGAAAAAAAAGGAAAAAGAGGAAAAATCCCTGAGACCACACTGCCCTCTCGCTTTTCTTCTGCTTCCTCCCTGACTGACTGACTGACTGACTGACTGACTGACTGACTGACTGACTGACTGATCGACCGAGCCGAGATAATCTCCAATCCTCTGTGACTGCTGTCTGCCAGACGGTGCATTGTGCCTTTTTTTTCCTCCTCTACCTCTATACAGCTGCCGGAGAAAAGTGTGCATCTGGATCTACAGCATGTCCCCTGAAAATAACACTGATGCCACCAATTTTAAAATCTCCTGGTCAACACACACACACACACACACACACACACACACACACACACACACACACACACACACACACACACACACACACACACACACACACAACACACACACACACACACACACACACACACACACACACACACACACACACACACACACACACACACACACACACACACACACACACACACACACACACACACACACACACACACACACACACACTGTGCAGCTATCGTCATTTAACACCTGCTTTGTGTCCAGATAGAGCCGGTCTTCGCTAATATTAGCCTGCTTTGACGGTGAGATCTCAGAGCAGGCAGACAAAGGCTCACACACGGCTGCACACACACACACACACACACACACACACACACACACACACACACACACACACACACACACACACACACACACACACACACACACGTGCAAAAAGGTGCAGCAATATACCAACTATGCACAACCACAGAAACAATAAAGAAGAGGGTGTTCATGGCTACTAAACAATAATAATTAAAGTCATTTTAGTGCAAAATCCATGGCGAATGATACATTTGCATCGAGGTGAATGACAGCTCATCACCACTGATTCACAGAGACCATTTCACTCCTTTTAAGTATCCGTTATCTGCTCGTAATGGCTAGGAATCAGCCCCAGCTAGCCAAGCAGTACATCAAGAGAGACCCAGATCTGTCACTAGCCTACGCATTCAAGACAACAGCAGCAGGACATCAAATAAAAGAAAGCACAGGGCCTGCAGAACCTCACCTAGAAACTCAGTGTCCAACAATGTGTGTTTGTGTGTGTCTGTCTGTGTGTGACACTCTTGTTGGATGGCTGAAGCAGCGCTATTCTGGCCAGAGGAGTGATTGACAGCTGTCATACAGTATGTTTGGTATTGATGGGACGAACAGGACAGTCGTTTGCAGAGTTCATAGGGTTGTTACTATGGCATATATTGGCAAGGATTTATTTTAATCTAGAAAAAGGCAAAAGAGTTCAATTGATCATTAATGAATTTCTGAAAGAGTCCTGCCAAGGAAGCTATTTTTGGTTATTCGATTGTCAGCAAGATAAAATCTACAAGCTGGGGTAAATTAGCTAAATTAGCGTAGCATGGGCCAAGGAAGTACATTCAACATGTTTTACTTTTATTAACATTATAGGATACACTGAAAAAAACTGAAACGTGGACTTTAACTACTGTAAATGAATTATGTCAACAGATTTCATTTATTAGATTAGTTGAAACCAATACAATTAAGTTTAAAATAAAAAACATTAGGTTCAACTTAATATTATTGCGTTCAACTAACCTAATACAATTATGTGAAAGTTGTTGACATAATACATTTAATTAAAGTCAACGTTTGAGTTTGTTCCATGTATCGCAATGGCGGCAAACTGCGCTCACTGGCTGCCCTTTATGTTACGTTTGGAACAAGCAGTATTTAAAAAAGAAAGATATATATTTTCTTATTTGTACACTGAGATGGGAAAAAACTAAACAAGATGGAATCAAAGGAGAAGACATACTTTATAAACCCCCTAAATAACATATAGCTGTCACACTCTACTCTAGTATAGATGAATGCATCATGCTACACTCACACATGTACACACAGTCATCTGAAATCCACACAAGCCTAATTTAAGGACGTACCATAAAATCCCTTGTTTCATATGTTCATCATTTACACCCTCCAACAGCTGGACAATTCACAGAGGCAACCAACAGGGGGCAGTCTTTTGCTCCTACCTATCAACTGTACAAACACACTGGTATAAACGGGGGGAACGCAACGGTAAGGCCTCAGTATGTTCTCAGTGTTACCGTGTGTGGCTAACACACACATGGTGCTGCTGTACGAGTAAGAGGCCAGATTCATTACCCATTACCATACATGGGTTAAAATATTACATTTCCTATAAAAGAGAGAGTGGTCATCGTTTGATTTGATTCAAAAGTTTCAAATGAGTAGAGATTCACCTTGAAAGTGAAGAATAAAAAGGATTTCTGCGGTTTGTCATACATTTGTTTAAAAGGCCAAACCAATACTGTTTTATTTGAACAATTGCCCATGTGTTGCTGCTCATTTTCAACATGTTTCCCATTTATCCCATGGTGTCACAATATTTCACATATCAGATTTTCTGACAGTACTCATTTCTACGCAGTCTAATGATTGGAAATATTATGACAAGATTTGTTCCCGTCATTTTCCTGCCTGGAAACTGAATGGTTTTAGGCTCGTCTTCCAATCTCAAAATCGTTATCCTTTTGTGTCTGATGTCCTTCGCAACCGCACCCAAACAACGAGACTGAGGCAGCCGGACTTGTTCCACCCAGCCATCAGCATTAATGAGGTTATCACTGAGCGAACAATAATAAAATGTCACCCTCAGAATGGAAAGGAACACACGGCTCTCACATGTCAGTGCTATCAGCTCTGCTGCACACAGACCGACACTTCACTCACTTCAAACCACAATACACTGCTGAGCTCACACACACACACAAACACACACCTTTTAAAAATGAACATCATAATAATAGGATAATCACTTAATAATAAGAGCTGAAACGTTAGTCACTTTAGCAATTTGTCATTGGCAATAATAATTAACATTTTAAATCTATTGTTGTGTTTTGTGTTTTCTTCCAACATCTTAAATGTGTATTGCAGCTTTCTTATGTTAGTAAATTATATACCTATAAAAAGATCTTCTTAAGGACAAACCGTGATGGACATATGTCACATTTAATGCACCAAACGATCGGTCAATTCATTGAGATTAAAATAATATTTTGTCATGTCAAAAAGCCATAACATCTAATGCATTGATATCAACCCATATATGTCAGCATCAGTCTGCAACTCCCCTCCTGAAACCCTC